CGGAGTCGCGAAGAAGAAGAAGAAGAAGAAGAAGAAGAAGAAGAAGAAGAAGAAGATAAGAAGAAGATAAGAAGAAGATAAGAAGAAGAAAAGAACGAAGAGAGAAGAAGAAGAAGAATGTCGTGCGGGGGGGGAATAGGGGTCGGGGATTGGTGTAGGGGATTGGGGAGATGGGCGGGAACGGGATCGCAGTCGGGGGGTGGGGTAGCACGAAGCGAGGGGGAGGGGGGGATCGATCGAGAGTCGGGGGGGGAAGGTTGCGAGGGAGTGGTGATCGGAGTCGCGAAGAAGAAGAAGAAGAAGAAGATAAGAAGAAGAAAAGAACGAAGAGAAAGAAGAAGAAGAAGATAATTGGAAGAAGAAGAGGACGAAAAATAAAAATAAAAAAAATTGTCGTCGATTACTTATCTGCGCGGAGGTAGCAACGGCGATGACGAGGATGGCACGGCGCGGCGACGAGGACGACGGGCACGGTGATGGTGACGTGGCACGACGACGACGGTCGCGACGATGACGATGATGACGTGGCACGACGACGACGATGGCGGCGATGACAATGATGACGTGGCACGACGACGACGATCACGACACTGACGTGGCACTACGATCACGATGCTGATGATGGCCAGGTGGTGACGACGAAGCAGGGTGGGTCGGGCGGGTTCGAACCGCTCCGATACCAGTGTGACGAGCTGGAGGCTGAGGGAGAGCCGAGGGAGAGGAGAGAGAGAGGGAGAGAGGGAGAGCACACACACACTCACTCACTCGACACGACTGAGGGTTGGACGCAAACACAGTGGCAAGGGCATAAAGTCAAAGTCTTTCCGAATGCCAAAAAAGCAAGTCACACTGAGTACGAGTACAACAACTGAAAACTGGTACGAGACTGGTCCCTGTACTGTACGGGGAGCTGGTGTAAGTACTGGTGACACGTACGGTACCAGGGGCATTTCCGCAAAAGCCCCGAGGGCAGAACTGAAAAATGCGGTATTTGAAAGTGGCGCCCGAATTGCAGCATGGCGCCAGTTGTCCAAAATCCAACGGTACCAAAGGAGGGGTTTGGAAAAGAGGGTGCCAGGCCGAAAACGGGATGCAGCAGAAACAGCAAAAAGATAGACCAGGGATCGAGCCCTGGCGGAGTCCGTAACAGGTCTGGTAGCTGTCTGTAGGTCCGTAGGGTCTAGAAGGTCGTAGGTCCCTAGGACAGTCCAGCCAGCAAGTACCTGGGAAAAGGGCTGCACGTGGGGAAAAGGGAAGGCCCACACGTTCTGGAGAAGTCTTCGGAATACGCGTTTTGGGGCCTGCGCACACGGGTTGAGTGCCAGAGTCCCATGAGGTTTGGCCAGAGGCCCACACGCTTTGGGAAGTTTCTGGACCCGGACCTCACGTGGTTTGGTACATGGTTTGGAAACTTCTAGACCTGGGGCTTCACGCGTTTTGGCCCAGGCCCACAGGTCTGGAGGCAGGGTCTGGGTACCTCCGAAGAAGTATAAATAAAGAGGCAGTGTCCAGCCATTCGCTCATTCGCCTGTGTGCCATGCGGAAGAGCTGCCTTGGTATCTTGTGCGTGGAGGTCTGCAGGTGCCCGGAGAAGAAGTGGGCTGTGAAGAAGACAGCGGCCATAGCAAACCAGCGAGAGAGACACCGGCGGCCATAGCTAGTAGGAAGACGGCGGCGGCCATAGCCGCCCAGCTGTTGGTGTGGACAGGGTGTACAGAGTGTGTGTGTCTATGCAGCGTGGACATTCAGGGTGATCCTCGTACGTGCGTGCATGCGAGATTGTGGGGAAGTGAGGCTGGTGGTAGAGACAGTGTTCGGCGGCCATAGCCTCAAGTTGTACAGTTGTGCTGAACAGAATTTAAGAGCAAGTTCGTTGTTGATTCTGAATCGACGAGTTTGGTTTGCCATCAGTTCTCATGTATGCATGTTGTGAGCAAGTCCAGAGTTGAGTCTGATTGCACAGCGACTCAATGAGCTCAACTGATTCTACAGTTATTAGGTTCGGCCCCAACTCAACTGACCATAAATCAGGCGTGTTGATTGCAATTCAACTCGAAGCTCGACTCAATTTAAATGAACTTCCTTCAGCTGATCTGAATATTGACTCAGTTGGCAGGCACCGAAGCAAGTGAGCTGAGAGTTCATATTGACTCCACACCCGAGCACACACGACTTGACTCCCATCACTACCTCTGCCCAACTGAAGTGAACTGTTCGCCACACTACTTGTATCCACTTAAGCGGTGCCAACTCTGCGAACTCAGCAGAGTAATATAAAGCCAGATGACAAAATCAGCTCAAGTCATCTATTAGACTCAGGTGAGCTCAGTTCGGCTCAGCTCAACTCGGTGTCATTGACCTTGCTATAGTAATGACAGGGTCAGGGTGAACGACAAATACGGTAAGTGAATTGTATTATGCGCAACTTGACACGCTGGTCACCTCTACTTGAACGAACTCTTAGCCACTGTGTACTCCTTTTCACTAGGAGGGTTCAGCACAGCGAACCCAACACAGTCAGCTCAACTTAAGCCAACCGACTTAGTGAGCTCAGATCAGCTCAGATAGTTAGGCTGAAAAAACTCAGAGCCATTCAACTCATAAGTGAACTGAGTGATGAGACGGTCAGGGAGTGTCACATACTGTAAAGGTGCAGACCAGAACAAGAACTGACCTCTCTCACATA